CAGTCCTGAATACAAGTGATGGAATTCGAGTGTTCTTCGTGGCATGCGTCTCCTCCGGTTCGTAGAAACGTGCGGCCCATTTCCTCAACTCTGGCGTGGCACTGTTTTTTTTTTTTTAGTTATTCTTCAAGAAGAACTTTATAAAGGTAAAATGCACAGTCCGCTCACATTATATATTTATGCATGCAAATGTATTATTATTTGTTGGCGATACGGTCGCGGGAGATAATTCGTTCACAATACTAAATAGTATGACGTTTGAAAAAGCATTGTTTTTATAACAACGATAAGTAGGTACCTAGGTGATGTTTAAGCGTCGTAGTATCACACAGAATATATTAAATGTATATTATATTATAATGGGGTTTATTTATTATGCAGTTATAGGTATGGTACGATTATTTTACTTCTAAACAAATGTTAAACAATGTCATGGAGAATTTCCCGAGTTGTAAAATAATAAATCATATATTATCATAGGTGCATTACCTATGTCGATTTGAATTATTTAAAATTTTAGATATTAGTATGTTGGCTATGCCTTCTAATATTATTTTATATATTTTTAATTCATTAATCGACAAATATATAGGTGCACAAAAAGTGCATTAGTTGAATTATGAATCACTTGAATATTATATCATACAATTATTATAGTCAACGCCACTCTATGGGTTAATAAATAATTCTTAAATAATAGGTACAAACGCTTATAGACTAAACCCTAAGGACTTATATGTGTATTATATTAAATTAAAGTTTAATATTTTTGTAAGAAAGAGGAGCCAATAATGATAATTGGATTTGGATAGGTGTGGTTGGTAATTGGTATTGACGGCTATAAAAACAAACAAAGACATTGTATAAATAATATTGGTTACTGGTTAGGCATTCTAGGTACTTATGTCCATGCAACGAAAGTGTCGTCTATTTAACTCGATCTCTAACTAACTCTGAGTATACAATATATAACAGATTATGTGATAGTTGGGAATATATTATTATGTTTGACATTTTTCACGATGGTACTCAATGATTAGGTACCTAATTCATTTTCTTATTATTTGTTGGGTAATATATTTTTTTATATAATTTTTCGTATGCAATAATTTTTCATTGAATTCAAATTTCACAAATCCATTACTCAATATCGAGGTACACTCGACGCCAGACGTCATAGTGTACGATTACTTACTTATCCACATTTTTGTTTTTAATAAAATAGGAACTCAATTTCACAATAGCTATACCTACATTATCTTAATTATAATGATTCAACATTTAAATCATATCCTCCTATATAAATTAAAAACATAGACCCTGCACTGCAGCGGTACGGAGTGATTAAAATGATTTAATGTGAAAACATTTTTAAATGATTTATTTAAATTATTAATTAAATGAAAAAAAATCATCATAACTCCTAAAAACAACTGCTAAGACATTCTAATAATTTGATTTAAAATGGAATTGCTAAAATTGGCTAGAGACTCGTGTAGCACCTACGTAAATTATTTACCATTGCCGTTTTATAAGTTATTACCTAAATGTGAAAGTGATAAAAAAATAAGATTAATTATTACATAATAATCAGTATGTTAAAATCATCTTATAAAATATATTTATGTATTTAACTGTTTTATTATCAAGTAATAATGTTTTATTTGTTTTTACCAATGTAATTAAATATTTTTTCAATCGTATAGGAATATAAAAATTATTCATCTTATAAATTATAATATTCTCGTATTATAATATATATCTAATATTTATCGATATAATCTAATTAATTTGAACTGCCTTTGTTTTTATCAGTCATTTATCTAAATGTTTAAAATGTACATCCAATAAATAATAAATTTGTTCACATAGGTAAGTATGTAACTGCTAATTCCATATTTTACAGACAGGAGATCTATCCGGGGAAGGTATTTTACTTTCAAATCCGCCTATGTTTACCGTGTTCTAAACTATAGAAAAACTATTTTAAATTTAAAAAAAAAATTGAATATTATAGGTAGGTATACGTATACTTATATTATATGACCATAATTTATACTGAACAGATCAACAATTATACTGGTATTATAGTGAACTGCAACTAAGTGCTTGTTCTTCTCTCAGACTTATTATTTGTTTACCTACAATTATTTATCATTTAATTTCAATTTAACACATCCACAATGGTTAGTTAAAACGCAGTACGCTTGAAACCAACTTAAAAAGAATCGTATTCCCTGGTATATAATCTGCAGTTTGTATATTATACAATATATAACCGTCTCAAAGGAGTTTGAAAAATGGAAATCACCTCATTTTCTATAACAAATAAGAACAATCGATTACCTATTGTACAAGGTAACTGAATCTATAAATTATTCTATGCAGACATATAATTATATCACTCTAAAGAAAACTGAATCTTATTATAATAAATACCTAAGTCGCAAATAAAGCCACATATTCTATGTGTATACTACAGATGTACTTACCTGTATTTAATAAATGAGTACTTATTAGAAAATCATGGAATGGTTCGATGACAGGAATCTCATTGAAGCCTTTCATCACACAAAATAACACCACTGAGTAGTTATTACTTCAATATAGGTATCTACATTAGACAAAATATTATATTATTCTTACCTATACTGTTATTGTATAAATACAACCAATATCTTTATAAAAACAGTAACTATACGTTTTGTAGAAATAAAGAAACCTTCTATAAAATATGTATTAAAATATATAATTTCTATGTATTCATAATAATGTATAGCTAATACCTTCTATAAACACACTATATAAGGTATTACACATACTTACTAGGTTTCACGAACATATTATACTCTGATGATTTTACCTGATAATGTACTTAATATTATATAGTCTTGTATAGTTATATTATACATATATATATATATTTTTTTTTTATTGATATAAAACATCGGCGACAACGGCCATTAGTTGTTGCTGTTATAATAATTACCATTATTTTTCTAATGTATATACTTAATTATAATATTTAAATTAAATCTGACAATTCAGAAATTCTTAAAAATAATACAATTTGGTAGGTGGTGTTTGCGTTCGGTCCGAGTGCTGGGTCTAGGGTGTTGAGAATATTAAGTTTGTCGAGTTCCTTTGTGTACCTACTGGAGGCACATCTATTTTGTTATAATGTGTAACACTATTATTATGCGCATTTCATGCGATAATAAAAGAATAATAAACGCTTACTTATAACTTACAAGTTAAATACTAATACTCAATAATATTTTTAATAACAGCTGCAGGTGACGTGGTAGGTGTAGGTATAGTTGCATCAGTAGGATACAGAGGTTTCTAATATTTTGTGGATACAGCATTTTTGCAATTTGTAAGTTTTACTCTTTCAAGATCAAGCGTATTATAACATTTGTATTTAACGTTTAAATGTGTGTTCATTGTTCATATAATATTATATCATAAGTTTCAAACGAATATCATGATTCAAATATTTTATTTATTAATTTTGATTTTTTAGAGGAATGAGTTTTAATGTGTAGTAGGTAGGTACTATGTGTAAAAAAAATTTACTTGTAATTTATACATATTTATTATGTTATACAGATTGTTCATTTTGAGCTTGTTATAATATAACAGTTACAATATCATCGTTTCCGATGTTCTTATAAGTTTAAACATCTAGAACATTATGAAACATTCTGTAAGACTGAAACACGTGTTGTTTAATTATTTATATCCCTCGCTTTGAAACTAAATGATTGGGGTGGGACGGTGAGTCATATTATGCTTCACTTAGTCTAATTAGTAATTACATAGTAATTAGTAATTATTTTGTAAGTTAAATATGCTCAACCACATAAAAGTATAATTCCTTGTTCCTTCATATTTTTACCAAAGAAATAAAAAATGTATATAATAAATAACAATAAATCGATTAAAGGTAATTTTAATATTCAAAACTTAAACATTTTAAATTATTTTCATGATTGAGATTTCGAATTTTCATTTATGCCAAAATATCTTTCTATTTTATTTTGTGTCGTTACCTATATACATTATTTTATATGATGTTATGAAATCAAATTATGTTTAGTATAGGGTAATGATAATGAGTAATGATCAAGCCTCGGAACTTTAGGCATTTGCATATTTGTTTAGAAAGTGCATATTAAAATTCTGATTCTATACAAATTCGATCCATATACCTAGTATACATAATATATTTCAAATACAATCATTTTTGTTGCATAATTTTGCATATTTCGTTATATTTTGTACGAATTCACATATTTTAGGTTTAAGAACATTTATATAATATGCATATTTTATGTATTTAACAAAAACAATTTTTTTTTTAGAAATTTATAGTTCAACAAAAAAAAATTAGATAAATGACAACCAATTAATTAAAAATTAGTTAATTCATCAACCACTATTTTTGAAATGCTCACTTGTTATTCTATCGGATGGAGTGCCGGATATAGGTATGGTTAAGAGTGGAAAATCACTTATAGTCCTTTATACTCAAAAATTATTCACTTGATATGCTCTGGGCATGGTCTCCATATAGGACTTAAAATTGTATCGAATGTTCAATTTTTTTCGCTATCACATATATTATATAAATAATAAATTTTCTTCAATAAATTGCATAATATTTTTGCATATCTTACAAATTTTAACTGCATATTATACCGCGCATATTTGAGTTGTTTTTAGCGCAGAAAGTTTCGATACTATTAGTTTCATCACTAATGACGTATTAATAGAATGCCATTGCAGCTCGTGGAAGGGGTTAGGCCATTTAAAAATGTATGATTTAATATTGGATAAAAATTTAAAAAAAACCTTTTCACAGATAAAACAAAATTTGCCTCGTCCGTTGTGTATAAAGCACAGTAAACGACATTGCACCTTTTCCCACCCCTACAAAGGAAAGTGACGAGGTCCAAAAATTGCGGCGTAAAAGTCCGGTAAACATAGGTAATATATTATATGGCACCCGTCCGAAAAACCAACTCGCGGCGACATCTATGGACCAACCAAAGCGGTAGGACGGCGACGCGGCGTCCGCGAAGACCTAGGGCCGTACGGCGCCTGTCCGCTTCGCATCGATCGCCACTGCCGCCCATCACCGCCACCCATCGCCGGCGCAAGGTTATAAGAGGCGAAGCGGTGGTGGGCACGTACCGCAAAGGACGGGCCGCGATTGGCCGACGGCCGTCCTTGACAGTGTGCACCGCTACCGAAGCGGTGGTTGTTCGTCCGCATATATTTATAGGGTCGCGCCCGGCCACCGGCGCGCGGCGGCCGCACGCGCCCGTTCGTTGATTCCCCGTGACCCTGCCGGGACGTCCGGTCCGTCGAAGCGAGCGTTTCACCGTCATCACCGGTCGTTCACGGACGTCGCATCACCCGAAGTTACAGCGACTGCACCTCTGACGCAGCTACTCGATCTCGAGGACCACGGGGTGAGTACCTGGGCACGTTATAATATATTATGTTAAGACAACGATGTCATAATAATATACCTAATAATCTATTGAAATTATTGTTATGACGTATAACAATATGATCGTCAGGATGAGTGATCAGGTCTTCTGTATCAATGTCAGGTAGCTCTGTATGAGATTATCAAACGTCTTCGTATTCGAACGTATCAGATAGCTTTCAGTCGCATTATTATTTTAATATTAATATCGTCGCACCGACGCCTTCGCGAGATCGACCGTTATTATAGGCTGCCTGCCCTACACGATATTATTATAATAATAATATTACGTTTTTGTATTATTCGTCTGGCCGATCGATCCCGCCGTGGCCGTCACTCCGGCGACGGCTTCCTCACTCGCATCGCCGGCCGAGTGTTTGCATACGGGCCACGCGTTCCGGCGATATTCATCTAATCCGTCGACGTCGACGCCTACTCTACTACAGTGCGCGCCTACACACTCGTCCTCGCACTAAAATAATATTGTTGTAATAATAATATCATAATATCATTATCGTTATTATAATACCGGCACTGATCGCTGCAGACCTTATCGTCGGCACGTCAACGGCAAACGTTTTCCTAAGTAATAATATCAGATAGGTTAGTTAATTACCCAGACGTGTAGTATGTATAAAATATTATTAATATTGCCTAGTTTGCAATATAGGTGATATAATAGATTAACTGTTGTCCGTCAAAGTAATATATTATAATATTCAAAGGAGGGCATGTTAACTCAAACAAATTAATTTGAGTTTGTATCAACAAGTTAATTCGGCGTTAATATAGAACTTGAATAGCTATAATGGTTAATAACTGAGATAACTGACAAACAAATATATTTAACTCTAAAAGTCAAAGTTATAGTAGGTCTAAGTATAGATAAATATACTAACTTGACTTGGTTGAGGTCTGAGTCCACGTAGGTATAATGATTGTGGGACTTAACGTTTTTTTGAATTATAACTAAATATTTCGTTAAAAATGCATCCCATACTATCCCTTCTTATTACTACACACTAGCTGTAGTAGTAGTTTAGGAAATTGCACGTTTGTGTTGACTAAAATAACAGTATAGCAGTGATTTACTATCAAGTAATATTTATTTGGTTATTATTGTACCTATTTTAAATCATCGTATATACTGAGATTAAACAAATCAAAAATGTAATAATCAATTAGTTTTAACAGGTACAAATATGATTTTAAGGCCCCTGCAAACCCTATTAATTTTTCATCAAAACGACCTTAGCGACTGACAAAAATTAAAGTACTTCTAGCTGTTCGATTTAAAAAATGTAAAGATGTTTTAATTGGTAGACCAATCTACATTGCATCGGTCGGAGCATATTTTTTATATTTTAGATATTTTTGAATATATTCAATACTAAAAATGTATAAATGTATAAAATGTAAAATAGTTATTCTCGTCAAGAATTTGCTAAAATTGAAAAAGTGCTCCGACCGATGCAAAGTAAACTTGTTTACCAACACAAACATCTTTACACTTTTTTAATCGAACAACTAGAAATACCTTAATTCTTGTCAGTGCGACAGCTATTTCAAGTCCATAAATAATTTATTTAATACAATTAATTATAAAATATTTTGATCTAGACATTGAATGACTTGTGCATGTGCCTGCGGGTGACCATAAACCAGATAAGAAATAACATTGTATTGTAAATTGATGTGGGTCGCGGGTGATGGTAGGGGAGTATGCGCACACTAATGATCATTTACTACACACACAAAGACGATCAGTAATCGTAGGAACGAAATAATTGCCTAAACACAACTCCTTCAAAATGACACATTTGCAGGGGCCTTAACTTAGCGTATTATTCTTCGAATTAACTAGAAAAAGCCAAGTTGTTACAGTATATATAATTTTATTAGTCAATTGGGAAATTAACTAACAAGTTAGGTTCAAAAGTTTAAAAAAAATTAACTTTTTAACTAGTTGACGCAAGCCTCTGAATATTTAACAACACAAAATGGCGTGTTCATAATTTTTCAAGGGAGGTGTCATCATAATATTTAGATATTATGTAATCTCATACATGCCTATAGAGTATATTTATTATAAAAGCAAACCAACTTAAAACATATTATGGGTAGTTGCAATATAATTTATAATTCATAAGTTCCTAGTAAATAATATTTTAGGGGGGTTTGTATATAAGTGGTAATGTATAAATTTTAATGACATATAAATGACATTTTTTGTTGGTGAAAAAACCCCCTGAAAATTTTGAAAACTATCCCATTTATGTCTATAAATATTATTATCAATAATATACTAATAATACAATCATGGGTACCTATAAAGGTATTTCTTCCTGGTATTTCAAGCGATAAGACAAAATAGGTTTATATTTCTAGATTTAATTCACATATTTTTCCACTTTAGATGAATTATTAATGAGCCAAATTAGTAATGATATTAGTTTTTAAAATCAAACACAAATTAAACGATATTATGGTGAAAGGGAGTTAATCATAATTCATAATATTATCCACTAAATACCTCCTAACTCCTAAGTAAAAGCGGCACAGATACCATATTCTTATAGCTTTACACCTATTGGCTATTTATAAAATGATAGTGACTTTTGTTTGATATCTCATTAGTCCAAAGTTCTGAATTAATCAGGTGATCACTACCGAGTCCGTACTACCGGACCTATTAAAAAAATGAACTGTTTTTGACCTCAAGTAAAAGACTCGTTGAAATCTCCGATTTCATTAGTGTCGTTGCGAGGATTAATGCGTGGATTAGAGATTCTCTAATAATTACCTATTCATTCCATTTGAAGAATAGTATTTGTCTCGTAAAATATTTCAATAAAATGTAATTATATCAGATAGCGTATGAATTTTAATAACAACTATTTAAAAAAAAATGTTCGGCATTTCAATATGGTTTATGTTGTATTGTACTAGTTACAAATATGAACTATATATTTTTATACTCGTTTTATATTATAATGTTGTTAACATTATTCAATAATCCGTATTATGTCTCACCTCAGGTGGCTGAATGAAAAAGTTCAAACTGTTCAAACTGTTTGTAAATAATATATTTATTACGAACTTTTTCAGTGGTTCCCACTTCCCATTATTCTTGAATAATAAATAAATATAACTTATTAAAAAAAAAAAAGTTTATTTTCATATCTTATTATTAGTTTAGAGTTTACACAAATATAATATTCTTGGTCTACTTAAATCATCTATAATGGAATAAGTTTCTGATACATTCACATATTTTTTATCGGCATAAACTACTCAGAATGGTTTTAAAATAACTAACGGTACATTATTCTTTAGACATTTCATAAGATGTAGTAAATTATATTTATGAGATTTTTCTAATAACATGTTTCTTCGATTGATCGTTAGTAAAATATTTGGTTAAAATATCTGTAAATAATTAACTATTCACATTTATTGTATTAAGTTTTAAATTCGAGATATAGTATTAGTCTTTGATCAGTATACTTTTTAAAATATTAGATTTATTTAGATCCATACAATTCTGTGTAATGATAATATTATAATTACACATCATTGTAAAAAGTAATCATAAAAACAATAGATTTATAAATAACGGTCAAATTGCCGCTTGCTGAAAACAGACAACCCTAATATAAATACTTTTTGCTGACAAAAAGGACGATCCGTTAAATCCTGTTACGAAGACAGGTGGATTTCTTGCATGCCACCAGACTACCAGAGAAAAGATAAAAAGGCCGACAAAGGTCTTGCCACCGAAAAGAAAACTATTTCATAGAAGCGCAAAACCCTTTGATAGGTCACCTCTGTCGCTTTTTGGTCGGCATACCGACACGCCTTTTTTGTCAGTAGATGCGCACCAGCCATCAACCTCTCAATACCGAAATCCTGAGTACCTTTAACACAACATTATTACAACTTACAAGATTTGTTTTAATATTCTCTTATTTGTACGTCATTACACAGGTCTTCTATGCAATATTTTAAGCATTAGGTATATTTATTATTGCTCTTAGTGTTATATTTTTGTTTAAGTTCCAAAATACCTTTAATGCCTCTTAAATTTACATAATTTATTACAAAAACTACTAGAAATTAAAATATAATATGATTTATTATGATATGATCTATGATCATACGGAACTAAATTTATATTCTTGAGGAATAAGGATACTGTAGCACTGTATCAGTGAATAATATTTATTAATAATAACAATATTAATGGCAGGCCATATTTCTATATATAATTACAAATATATTGCAGGCATTATAAAATATCTTTTCCCAAAATATCATGTATTTATCTGTAATCATAAATTACAGATAAATACATCTGTAACTAAGCAAAAACCTATCAGAGCAATGTCACCAAATGTTACCTATAGCTTATGCCTACTTCGTCTGACAAAGAATATTTAATTTTAAATAAAACACAGCAGTTAGTATTTGGTTTTAATTTATTTCTACCAACTCAGATGTTCTTCTATACATACATATATCTCAAATTATTTTATGTATAGTTTGATAATATGCAAACATCCTAGTTAGTATAGATTAATTTAAAATATATTTATTATATTAGACGCTTTAGATCCCATTTATATTGAAGGTCAATTGCAGTCAATAGTTATACTTAAAAAAATTGGTTGAATAAAATATAAATATTATCTTGGTGTAAGCCGAGCTGTTAAAATTTCCCAATTATTTAGGTGCCCACTCCTAATATGTTTGACGAATAAACTATCAAGTGTTTCTAATAGGTAGTCAAATATTCTTATTGTAAATCAATAATCAATTTAAGTATTAATTATAAGTACGTAGTATGTTATACATAATAGTCTGTATTTATTACATAAGAATACCAGTAATTCTATATTTTATCTTTAAACGTATATCTACATACATTCATTATCGTAGGTAGGTACTAAAAAATTGTCGGTACATATTTTATAGTAAATCATCCTGCAGATATTTGGAAACCAAGAAAATAGACAATGTATATAATAATTATTTATAATTTTCAAATTGGTAGCTTTAAATAAATAAAAACATTTAAGTACTTAATCTATTGTGTTAGTGCAGTTTTCTGATGTATATTTAAAAATGTTATGACTGCAAAAAAAATTGATATAAAACAAAATATATTTTTTTTTTATTATTTAGATTTGATTTATCCTGATCAACTTTGAAAATTTAATAGATAAAAATTAAAAATTAATGTATTTACATAGGTAGGTACAAATTTACTAACTTGAGGTTCTTTTTTCTACGAATTAATTCTACTAATTCTTTTTTTAACATTTTAAATATTTGTTTTATTTTAAAATGAAATATATAATCTATACAATAATAAGTACAATACATAAGTATATAATACTTAAGGTTAATATAACATGGTTGGGTTGAAAAAGAAGCCACGGCTCAAAGACGACACGTCTTGACGAACAATTTTTTTTTTTGTATGGATTCCAGGGTTTTTCCTATGATATTTGGAATAGTTTAATATAATTTTAGAATTGATGAGAGAGTCATATTTACTGTACCTAGATGACTTTTCAACATTAATTTAGACATTTAATAAAATATTTTACTTATTAAAAACAAAACCAGTTTTAATTGTCCGTTATTTTATAAATATATTTACATTTTGAAACATAAAAGTAAGTGTGCCATGTAAATGAATAGTACGTATAATATTAACAAAATTAGAGATTTTGATAAAAAATATATTTATTTATATAATTGTTTTGTACTTACATAATGTATACTGTATGTGTAGATATCTATATAAATGACGATGATTATATTTTACTGGTTTGTAGTAATGATTATGTTTGTCAAACATTGACCTTCACAATATATACCTTTGACATTTAAATATAACAAATTGATTATTTTTATCTCACACAAAAAGATATATAAAAAACTAAATACACTATAATATGTATGATACGAATACAATTAAACTGATTGATTTATTGTTAAAAGTTATTTAGTTGGTTTTATTTTATTTAGATTAAAACTAAAATTAAATTATTTGGTAAAAACCTACACCATTTTTTACAAAATTCAACAAAATCACGAAAATATGTAAATTATTTTGTTTTTAAAAATTGCTCACATTTATAATTTACCTTATGCATAAAATTAAATTAAAGATCTTTTTTTGTAGAAATTCAGCATAAACCCACAAACCCCCTTATTTATGGAGTGACTGAAGTTCAAATTTTGAAAAAATTGTAGATATAAACGAAAAATAGATACTGTTCATTATTTTTTTGTAATTAAAAAAAATACTATTCATTGAGACATGAAACTTTTCACCAATGTAATTTACTGTGCTTACAGAATTAAATTTTCAAAATATTAATATTAATTTAAAAGCTACGAACCTATCCACACCATTTCGTCAAACTACAATAAATTCATCAGTATTGATTTATAAGTTAGTTAATGACAGTCATTTTATATACAATAATATTGTAATCATTATTACCTACCTATTACTAACATAGTATATCTATGAGTTTTTTTTTTGCAAAAATTATAGTTGAACCTACCGTATTACTAATAGAAAAAAAAATACTAATAGCGAGTAATGGCAATATAAATATGATTAATATATAATAAATTACCTATATAAGTACTTAGAAATATAGTCTTAAGCTTAAAATCATTTGTCGTATACAAAAGGTGACCTGGTGAACATTCCATAACGAAGTACGTTCAATAGACTTACTAGATATACTGCAATGTGACTTCCCCAATTTTTTTTTTTATGGGAATTTCTATAGATTTTTTTAAAACAATTACAGAGGAAACGGGCTTTTTGCTAAACATTTAATAATGTATTTTTACTAACTAGTTAATAATATTATGTAATAATCTCTACTAACAATTCATATTTTTTTTAAATAACACAATGGTCTGCACTCAGGTACATATTATATAATATATATATTATATTATATCCTGCAGATACGGTATATGTATAGGTACTAAAAATGTCCTCATAAAATGTAACCTACTGAACAAAAACATGACTTATTTTTAAAAATATATACTACTAACTATACCGTTTTAATTGCTCGAGTGTTTTAATTATCTTTCCGTTTCTATTAAATTAGGTAGGTAGGTAGGTACTACTATTTTCCTGAGTACAATTATACGTATTAAATATGTATGCACTATGCATGATATTATATATATATTTATAAAATATTATATTGCAAATATATTGTAATAATATTAATGTATACACGAATGTAGGTTTATAACCTTTGAACAGTGATAAGTCGACAAAATATTTTGATGATGAATTCCACAGTTCAAAGATGTAAATGTCCTTTAAAATTATATTATAGTAAATAATATACCTTCACCTAACAGGCCTCTATGAAAACATTTCATCAAGTATAATGCACTATAAATACAACCGTATTACATATATGTAATTATTTGTGACATTAGTGTCACAAATAATATATTTTATTGAGGAAAATTGCTTAAATAAAATCAAATCATTTAATTTAGATACCTATTATAATGACCTACAAGTGGGCGTATAAAACATGAATAAGTAACTCATTTGGTAAACTTGTCAAAAACATTTTTTAATAACTTTTTCAGTGTACCTACCAACTACCGTATAATTTAATAAGTATACCTACTACCTAGTGACTATATAATAATATGTTTAGATAATAAAAAAAAACTGGTGATGGCCAACGTTAGTTGTTATCGTTTCGGTGGTCTAATCAACATAAAAAAAAATGCACTTGTACCCAGTTAGCAGTTTCCATATGGACCATCTGATCGCCATAAAATTTCAAGGACAGAAACGCCTTAGACAAAGGAGACTATTGATATCGCCCCCCCCCCTATCAGTATGCTGTATGGATAACCAAAGTTAAGTTTATGATGCACAATAAACGGCAACTCAAATAATTATAATATAACATATAAATTATAAACTATAAAAAGTTATAGGTAAACTATTGATATCAGTATATTGTCGCATATCAAACAATTAAGTTATTTGGATACCGATAATCCAAGTGTATAATGTATTGTTAGACAGACAGTACAAATATTAAAAAATTAGTTTATTTTTTAGCACCTTTCGTCAATAGAACAATCAAATACGGTATAATTAAATAGATATACTGGCGGCTATTTTTTTTATCGAGATGCACGCCCCGGCCAGTGATGATTATACACCTATTATTCGTTTAAAGTAATCTCAGATTCGCAAATTTAGTCTTTTAGTCATCAATCGTCATTATATTTGGTAGAACAACGGTTCAATGGTTAAAAAGATTATTTAAATATTGACATTTCACATGAGCTTTAATCATCAAAACCGTGAAAAAGAATTCTGCAAGTATTGTAACACAGACACACTGTATATATTATATTTTGTATACTTTCAAAGTAATAATGTCTTTATATAAGTAATAAACAAAAATTTCCACCGTAAATCTCTAAATCCCCTTTTGAGCACATCTCCTGGTTGGACTTGCCCTTAACTTTATTAAAACATCCCTGATCAGTGATATCATACATTCAACTCATAACTATTCAAGTCTCAAGGAAATTATAATTTTAGTTTTCCATTGAAAAACAACATGTGCCATTTAACTTCTTGTATACGAGTACAACAATGCTTAACACTCAAATGATTGGATTAAAAAATGTATTTTTATTTCCAGACTGCATCTAAAAGTTGAACTATTTAAATTCCAGTTTATTTTAAAATTCTTGAATTGAAAATCATTGCACTCATAAAAGATTCCAAACTTTTTTCTGTTAAACAAATACCATTTTTTAAATACCATTCGTGTTCAAAATCTTTTATCTGCATCTGTTACATCTATTCCAGCAAAGTTAGATCACGAAAAAATAAAGAAGCAATTTTACTTCTAAAAAATAATTATTTTAGGCAATAAAAATCTAAATCTGAGTTAAAAGTTAAATTTATTGGATAATTAATAGATATTAAGATTTTGAAGTCAAACTTCGTCTTGTTTTGATGTAGGTAGGTATTATGGATATAAATTTGAAAAATTGCAACAATTTTCTGTAACGTTGGTTGCTAGGTAAAATTGCAATAATGACCGGCTTCGAGGAACTCGGATGACATGGGAACAGTTGAAGCGTTAACTTGAAGACGAGTTAAATATAACATTGAAAAAATCTAATTTTCAAACTCAACTGCGCATTAAAATATTGAAAAATATGCCAAAGCTAACTAACGCGGAACGGGCCAAGAACTTTCGAAAGCGTCAAAAGGAGAAAGCTAAGTCAACCGGACAGCAGAAAAATCCAGCTCGGACCAGTACAGAACGATCTCGGGAACACAGGGCCCGAGAGAGGGAGAAACGACCGAGTATAATTTCGACGACGAGACCTAAACAACAGCAGAACACACCCGTGTCGTTGGAAGTCAACTGCAGTGTGGAGGTAATATTATGTAAACATTTGCTTTGTGAAATTTCATTCTTTCGAAATTCACAAAAGATAAGACGTGTAGTTCAACGTTCAAATTGGTGGACATGTTTCAAACAGTCAAACACATTACACATATTTTTACACGATATTTATTTTATTCAAAGCAGTTTTTATTTTAGACAGCTACTTACTTAACCGATCTAAAAAACACGGGGAACCCAAAAATATAATTGAGTCTCTAAAATAAACTTCAAACTAAACTTTAAATTGATATAATCAACCTACTACAACTACATACTATGAAGTAGGTAGTATATTATAATGGCCGAAAGTATATACGAAAAAGCCGTTTAACTGTACCTATTTTCACATCCGTTGTAGGTTAAATATTTACTAACCCACTAATACCTCACAAATTATCTACATTATAATAATTGGCATACCTATTACGGTATAATTATAATTCTGTAATTCTGACAAATATATATTATCTTATTACAATTATTTCAAATTAATTTAATGTATTATTAAAATCACACGAACCATTTATAGCTTATTTTTTATTGATATAATAATAGTTAGTAATAATAATACTAAGTCCCAAGGAAAAAAAAGGGTAAGTGGGTGATGCTCTGCTGTACTCTAGGTTACAAGGTTACTCTAGGTTTACGTTTCACTGTAATGGATGGTGTCAAATTTGAATTCAATGATATAATATCATTGTACCTTTACGAAAAACGATTCTGAGCGGAGACGATTAGTCAGGGGGGATATTTAAATTTTATTTCTATTGTTATTACTTACTTAGGTATTAATAAGTTATTATTGACACAGTAGCTGGTAAGTTGAATTATAATATTATACAATTACAACAAAATAACTAAAATCGTTATTCTTGGTTAGGTTTGTCAAAATTTAAACATAAAATAACTAAATCTTCGATCTTTAGCTATAAAAGTAAACATTTTACAAATTATTAAGCACGAAATATCAAACTTTAAATGCTGATAAAAAAAATGTGCATGTGTATTTTTTATATTTTTCAACTGTTATTGTAACAGTACCTATATCAAGAGCCTAATTGTATTAATTTTTCATGATTTTTGATCTAACAAATAAAATTGTATTTTTTAACATTTATAGAAAAAAAAAAACCAAATTGTGCAATAAAAAATGCATATGTTTCACTTAATTTTAATAATTTTATTTTGTATAATTCCGGTAATAGTTAACAATATTACTAAACATTCCAGGAATAAATGTTATCACTTTATTAGTAGAAAGAAAAGAGTTCGATTTAAAAATAAAATTTTATAAAAATTATTTATGATTTATGACTTATGACTATATAGCCATATAGGTAAGATGATTGTACCATTTATACATAATACTAAAATAGGTCTATCATCACTAGGACTAGGTCTATGATTGTAAAATATAATATACATAATAATTATTGAATCATATGAATTGAATATGGCTAAAAAAATGATAAAAAAAGTAACGCGTTATTTGTAACGCACTACTTGATTAATGAAAAAGTATAGTAACGTGATAAAAATAATTGTAAGTAAGTAACGCAAATATAATTAAAATAAAAATATTTGAAGTAACGAGTAACGTAATTGCATTACTTTTTAAAAGTAATTTACCTAACACTGCTTAAATCTGATTAATCTGGAAACTGCAATGTATACTATATGTATAATAATATGTATTTTATAGTTTGATTTTCTCATACTTGGTATCCGCATAAATCATTATTAATTTATTCAAATGGCTCGTACAGAATACTTTTTGTTTACCAATATAATAAAATAAACAATAACGATAATCGACTTTGTTGTAATAATTACAATTTAACGCCGGGTTACCACTTGACCTTTATGATTTAATGAATTCGGCAGTGTCTACTTGTTTAAGTCTGAAGTAAGTACCTAGGGATAGATTATTGAATGTTTACTTTATTTTTTTTTGTTGATAAGTACAAAGTAAACATATGCATTTATTATTAATATTAACTAACATTTAATGTGATAGAAATAATTTAGTTAGTAATATTTTGAAGTATTAATTTGTGTACACTATTATAATACATTTATTGTACCGATATTTGTGACATATTTAAATTGTTATACTTTTTTTCGTTATCGTTTCACAATAATAACAAGCAATTATATATATATATGTGGAGAATTTGCTTACTGTAACCTCAATATTTTTCGAACAATTTTAATTTTTTTGTTCTTATAGAACAAATATAACAAAAAGTCAACAGTTGATTAGCTAAAATTATTATATAATAGTATAGTTATTATATTTACGCCATAATTCATAATAATAATATATTCCTATATTTTATTAGACACTACAGATTTGGTATTTAATTGAATCTGATCTAATTGTTTTCATTAAACTTCTTATTTCATAATATTTTACTTTACACAAAACACAATACTATTGACAAAACAATGAATGTCTGTATTTGATTTAGCCGATTTAGGCGTTCAATGTATATCTTAAACTCATTTATAAATGAACATGTCACGAACACAAATATCCTATTACGAAACTCGATAATATAATTTATATTGCATATACATATATGATATTATAACCAGTCATAAATTGTATAATATGACAATACAATATAATATATATTGTATCCATTATTTAATTGAATTTTGACCTTTTTAAGGGGGTGTAAAATGGTCAGCTTCGAATTTGCAGCTTTATATTATAATTTATAACAAACATTTTAGACTTAACCTAATTTAAAATTTGAATTACACAAATGTATTACTAATAAACCGATACCACGTCAATAATTTACTCATGTACGTATAGTAAACAATATAATAGATTTTAACTCTTTAAAATAATTGAATTTGGATTTTATAATATTTAACTGGAATTAATTTTAAATTATAATTTATAAGTAAATTAGTAATAGTAGTTTACCTATAATTAATCAATATTTACGCTTTATTATGGTACAGATGTTTTTGTTATATTTATACGTAATAATTATTATATTTTAACATTGCAATCGTTATAATATAAATTAATATTTATTTTGATAAATATTTTATACATATTTTAATAAATATAATATATGATGGGCGACTTCACATTATAATAATATAGTCTACAGTATAGACTTTATACAAATATTAAATTGTCCGGTTATATAAAACCAATTTGTGTATCAAAGTATGAAACGAATTATCATCTGATAACAATAATTGTGAAAATCATAATTTTTAGTTTTTTTATTTTCTAATACTATACAATGATTACAATGTGTGTTCAGTAGATATAATTGCTTATTGATATTTAAATTTATTTTAATGATTAAATTATAATAAAAGTCCCTGTCACAATCTGCAATGATTATTATTTTGAAAAAAAATATTAATTTCTATTTGGGTCATTACCTACTATTTGTCACATGAGTCTTCCTGGCACCCTCGCGTAAGTCGTATGGTCATCATTTCTACATCCGACCAAATTTGTATTTTTGTAACAAATTTTTATCCATTTGTTATTTGTTATTTTAAAAAAGTTCACCTATATACACGCGAATAAAAATCGAGTAAAAAAATGAAATTGGGTAGATATCGATTTCACACAACTTTTGAACGTCGCGGGTTCCAGGACGACGCGTTAGAGCATCTCAATTTAAAATTCTTGTTTGTGTCTAAAATGGTACCTATAAATGTGTGGGTGTTTGTTTCGTTTTCGCAGAAAATGTCCTCTTCCGAATCGGCAGAACCGGCCGGATGGCTGAGACTCGGCGACCTGGCGATCGGCGGCGACGGCGGCGTGTGCGTCACGTCGCTGATCAAGGACAAGATACGCGAGTACATGCTGAACGAGGAACAGCAACAGACGACCGCGACGTCCACCACGGCGGTGGCTGCAGCGGCGGCCACGGTGGCCAACACGGCGCAGGCGTCCAATAGCGGTGACGTCACGTGCGTCCGGCGGATAGGCAACTCTCTGGACCTGTTGTTGCGCGAGAGCCGAAATGCCGGCCACGCCGTGGCCGCGGCCACTGCCAAGAACAAGACGTCGTCGTCTTCAACGCCTTCATTCGCCACCGCCGCCACGGCGGCCGTGGACGTGGCTTCTGCCGGCTGCGCGGTCATCACCGCCCCCGTCGACCATATCGCGTCCACCGCGGTCATCACCGCGCCAGCCGACAGCTCGCGCCCGACCGTCGATCGACCGCTGCCACCACTGCCACCACTGTTCACCAAACGGTAAGTCGATCGACTGTACTTATTACTATATAATATAGGAAGGTACCTAACTATATCATTTCGAATTAGGATCTATACGAGTACCTATATATACCTAGGTATATAGGTACAAGGTATTTCACTAAACATATTTTATAACTATCGTGTCATAATATAAATTATGAGTTATGACGTGTGTTTCACACAGGTCGAGAAACTATTCTAGCTGATAAAAACGAAAATCTATTACAAATATAATTGGTTATAGACAACACGCGTGAATATTAGTAATCACTAAGACCGGCTTAATATACCTATATACCTATAGGTAGTTATTTATTTAGTTTATCATAGTTATCTCACAGTCATTAGGTATTATAATTTACATACACATTTAGTGAGGTTAGAATGTTAGATCTTATATATATATGCAGATGTTTATGATTCAGAAGGCTTACGACCAATCTCTAAAGTAGGATGATTAAAGAATAAGTTGCGTTTTATAGATATAGATGGACTTTAGCGATCTTACAATATTGTTGATAATTGATGTAAACATTAAAATTACCGAATTCCATATATATAGTGGGAACCAGTAGACAGGAAGGTAGGAAGGTAGGAAGGTTCGCTGAGGCCCATAATTTAGTGATTACAACGATATCGGATATTTCCTATGAGAACAATGACGTACTGACGTATTTGGGTTTTTGTGATTATCATTTATCATACACCATAAATACGTTGATTGTATAATATACCAGTTGTCTGTTGTTATGTAGTTTGACTTAACAATGTGAACAAAACATTAGTTTGCATTATTTTTCTTACGTCCTATTTATTTAAAAAATATTATTATTTATTAAGTAACATTGTTTTAGTATTCAGTAGTAATACGCATTAATAATTGTTAGAAATTGAAATAATAATTTAAAAACTAAAATTAGATCTAAACGAAAAAAAATACGAAAATATATGTACAAAATACAAATTGTTATTTGTAAAAAAGATTTAAAGTCAACAATGTTATTTTTCATTTTTGTGTTATTACTGGCGTTTTTTTCATATAAGTTGAATTATTAGCCTTTTTATTAGTGTGTTTTATGCACATGTAAATAATTGTAGTAGGTACATTTGTCATTCATTTACATTCACAGAATAGGATAAACAAAAACAACAATAATATGTAAACACAGTATTTTGTGTCCTTCAAAACAAAATCTATATAAAGGTTTGTTTTGAGGTTTGTAACAGTATAGGCTTGTGTTTTCGAATATTGTACTCTATACAGTGTGTTCTTAATTTGTATATACACTCAAGGGTAAATTAAATTTTATGACTAATTCATTGGCTATGATTCAATTATTTAGACTTCTAGTATCATAATTACAACTCATTGCTTAGGTACCTATGTGAGAATTTATACGTTTTTACATTTACACATTGAGATTTGACGTAAAATTTCAAATGAAAGTTATATCAAATAAAAAAAATCTTATTGGAAAACAAAATGCCTAATCAAAATAATTAGGTACCTTACAAGGAACATCCAAAATTAATGTACCTTATTACATTGTTAAATAATATACATTTTCAAAAATAATTGACTCATATCAAAATAATTTTAATGGGTTACTATATTTAATCGTTTATGAATTTATGATATTATACAATTTAATTTGATATTATTTTAATGGTAGACATTAATTATCTACAATATACTATCTACATCCGTCTAACTTATTAATTAAAATATTAAAAAATATATTTTATATCCCTCAATATCAATAATTCAACAAATATTTACTATTACAAATTACAATAATATTATTAAATGGCTTTCGCTTTGATTAGGAATAATATTATAATGACTAATCTTTATTTTATTTATTCTACAACATGTACCTAATCTTTTTGTATTTGTTTTATTTTTTTGATATTGATTAATGAATTATGATTGGGTATACTTGAAAATAATAGAGTGATTCGTGAAACAAAAATGTTTTAATTATTAAATTAATTTTGATACCAGAAAAATATCTAGTCATTTAAAATATTGTATTGATATAATTACCAACAATATATTATTATAGGTTATTACTCTGTACAAAGTGAAAAAGCTATGGATTTTCTTTTTTTAATTAAAAAGTTTTTTTCTTGTTACATCCTTTAAAAGTTATTTAATTTAGTAATTTACTCATATTTAGGTACTGCTGCTGCGGAAATCATAAAAATTCTAATACAGGGAACTCTAATCATTTGGCGACAATAGCAAATGTTAAGTTTAGGAATGTGACATACTGACATGCGTATTGCCGTATAAAGGTTTTACTGTTAGTTTTTTTTCTTATTTACTTTTTCTGATAATAGATTTACAAGAGAAAGGAATTCTCATTCAAAAAAAATGTAAGCTTTTAAAGATCAAAATCCTAGTCAAAATGATTGCTTTGAAAATGGAATTTTTCTGAATTTCTTATTATAGCTTCTAAAGCCAGAAAGAAAATATTTCCATTCTGTGAGAAAAATGTTGAATAGAAGTAAGCCTGTCAGCTGCAAACGTGGTTCCCTTCAGAATTGTCTTTCGAATACATTATTTATTTTATTATTGCTTAAAAATATTTTTATGAATAGCTATTTAACAGCTAGTTGCGACTATACATATAAATTATTAATATTAAAATGGAAATCTTTAAAATATTATTTTCTATTCCGTTAATCTCTCGCATATTATGCTCAAGTTCGACAAAATAAGTATAGATTACATAATTTGTATTATTAAACCATTATTAATTATTAAAGAAAATTAAACATTTTTGCGACATCTGTGTTATTACTTATTTGAATGCATTAAATTGACATTGTTATAGTATTTTATATAAACCTGTTCGATTAGATTGCCATTTCCCATTTGTATTCAAGTAATACAATGTAGCTACAAATGTTCAATGTACATATATGTAAAATACTACCATAATATGTCACTATATATATTATGTCCCCAAAGGTACAAGTTAAAGTTATAGCAGACTGCAGCTGTTATATTGTAATTATTAAATTACAAATGTAGGTATACCGACCACGAGTAACATTTTAATAATTTTTTTTATTTAATTGTGTTTCGAATGTAAGATAATACTTGCCTAAAAACTATAGACGCTAAGACATTACAGAAATATTTTTTTGGGTAAAACGCTTGTTCATTTTGATCTTAAAAATTAAATATATAAATAATTTCAATAAAACTATTTCAAAATTGAATTTAGATACGTCGACTTAATGTAACACAAATTAAAGATTATTTTATAATACGAAGAGCTAGGTAGGTACAATATATATTAATATATTATACATATGTATAATGTTCAATTAATTCATCAAAATTCAATTGTGGCTTGTGATAATCATAGCTACTGAAAAATTAATAACAATATTACAAAAATTCAAGAACTTCAATAGTACTTATGAAAAATACTAAACGAGGTAAACGACATGTATGTATAGGTAGCCTGCAGGTATAGGTACACAGTGAAACGAAAAAGGCTTTTTGGTCATAGTCGATTTTATAATTCTGATTTCAGATATATTCATGGTCGTAGACATTGGGGGGGGGGTCAAAGTATTCAAAGCCCCCTTACAACATGGAAAGGTAGATAAATGTACCTATTTATTATATAATATGTAATTATTATGATAACCCCCCCTCATTAAATTCCTGTGTACGAAACTGCAATGGATATATAATATGAATAAATTTCAATTGGTTAATTTCTCATAATATTTAATACTATTAAAATAACTTATTTTCGATAATTTTAAATTTTTAAACATAAATAATATTTTTCTGTGTTGTTATAATTGTTAAAATAAAATATAATAAGTAATAACATAAAGAGTTCAAACCTTGTAATCAGTTCCTATATAATCTAAAGTAGGTACTTATAATTTACTTCACAATCGTATACAGTCATAATAATTCACTAACATGGTGATAGTTTAACAGACATGTTACAATATATAATGTCATAAGATTATTAAACCATGTGTCCATGTATAATCGTCATATTTACTATGATAATATAATATATTTATAGGTGACTTTTCTAAGTTATTGGAGCAAGGACACTACGATGTAGAAGTGAAAAACAAAAAAATAATTAAAGGGATTACAACTGAGGGAAAACGAAATTATCTTTAAATATACAATACGGCCTGCAAGGAGTTGATTTTAATATTATAAGATGATGAATTAATACATTATTATAACAATAGTATTTAAACGTAATACTTAAATTATTGAATAGGTACTTAATATATTAATAGTTAGATAATAATATAATCATATCCAAACAATAGAATGTTTTTAAAGCAAATTTAATTTTTATTAAACGATGGTTTACGGAACTTTATGGAAGGGGGAATGAAGGACCTTGTGTAATGTTTTTTCCTTGAAAATAACTGTCTTAATCTTTAATTTTGCTATAAAATATACAATGATGTCAGATTTTGACCAACTTATTTAAATGTCCAAATTTAAGAGCACCATTTATATTTTTGTAGCTTAACGTGTACCTATTATGTATTTAAGGCTTATTCATATTTGGTTTTGTATTTTAAATTATTCTTCTTAAACGGTTCATAACATGTTTCAGCATTTTACCAATGAAGTGCGTCATTAATAAATCATAAAAATACGTAAAGGCAGATAAGTGAGTTATGGCTGTCTTACTAGTTACTATCCAGTTAGCAATAGTTACACTGTATTTATGGATCTTATTATAAAATAAAAGCTACAAATATAATATTATGTTCTCAATTTTATATTCACAAGATACCTATGTAGGTAAGCAGGTACATATATCAAATTTATTATGTTAATCTTGTACACCTATATTATTTAATTTCAAACTAATAAGTTATGTAAAATCAAATTTTAATATTCACAAGTAGTCGTATTTGATTGTGTATCGGTTGTACTAAATATTTAAAATTTGAATATTTAATTCATATATTACTAGGTACCTACA